TATGTTGCAGTACTGTAACAGATCCAACTACCCAACAAGCCAAGTGCAAAGACTATTATTTATTTACTTACTTACTTACTTTATTTCTATACTGATTTTCTCAGCCCTCAGGTGACTCAAAGCGGTGAACAACATCAAGACAAAACATCACAAAACAAGTATAGGGCAATTAAAAACAATTATAACATAACTCATTAACATCAGTATAACAATCATTAGCGCCTCAACAGTAAAATCAGAATCCAGTCTCATCATTATTCCTATATTCAATTACACTGTTTAATCAAATGCTTGTTCGAACAGCCAGGTCTTCACTTTCCTCCGAAACACCAGCAGGGAGGGGGCCAATCTGATATCTGCAGGCAGGGCGTTCCACAGCCGAGGGGCCACCACTGAGAAGGCCCTGTCTCTCGTCCCCGCCAAGCGCGGGGGACTATTTCCAGCTGACAGTGTATTAGGTGTCTTTGGTCCTCTATTCCTCCTTCTCTTCATATACTATAGAGCATAGGTGAGTTTTTAATTGTTTTTTGAGGAGCGAAGGGAGGGGGCAATTTTTATCTCTTTTGGGAGGGTGTTCCAGAAATGCGGCGCAATCACGGAGAAGGCTCTCTCTGTTGTTCCCACCAGCCATACTTGAGAAGGGGGTGGGACCAAGAGTAGGGCCTCCTCCATTGATTGCAATTCTTGAGTTGGTTTATAAGATGCAATTTGTTAGATAGCCTGAGCTGTTTAGGGTAGTTCCTAAACAGGTAGTCCAAAGCTTAACTTGTGTTTCCAGAGCATAAACTTCCATTCCTTATGCAGTCTGGATGTGCCCCTGTCTTTTTCAGATAAACAGAATTCATAACAAACGTGTAGTTGGCAACTGCTTCTTCACCGCAGAAAATGATCTGTTAGCGGGTTGCAAAATTATATTCCTCCCTTGCTCTTTTCATAGATGGCAGGTTGGAATAGTGGCTAAAAATATTGGTTATGCATTAGAACGTGAGGCGGCTTTAGGTAGTGGCTAGGATTAGGACTGTGACTGGAGACCAGGTTTCAAATGCCCACTCGTGGACACCCACTGAGTGATCTTGGACAAGTCATGCTGCCTTAGCCTTTGAGGCAAACCTCCTCTAAGAAATATTGTAAAAAACAGTGATAAATCTATCTTAGTGTCACCATAGGTTTGAATGACTTGAAAGCACACAACAACACAATAGAGGAGAACTATTGGAAGTGACTTCCATTAATCCATGAGCTGTTCCGGGGGGAGGGGGGATTGTCACCAAAGGGCATGGATATTCTGCTTATTGCTGGCACACTAGAAAAATAGAATTTCTAATTCCCCACATCAGATGGCATAGGAAGATAGAGTACAGGTGAAAAGCCTGCAGCCTTTCAGATGGCATTGCACTCCAATTCCTGTCAGTTACAACATTTCTCAGAGAAGAAATGCCAGCTGCCTCTCTTCCCCACCCCTCTCTCCAAAAACCTCAAAATTCATGGTGAAGTTTGCCTTTGTATGAAAATAACAAAATAGTGAGAGGAAAAAGATTGTACACTGTGCTGTTTTTAGCAATTAGTCATAGGATGGATTCTGCTTTTCTGTCCATGTTTGTTTCATATTGAAAGAATGTCTTCTTTTATGCTTCTTCCCCTTCTCTCTCTAAAGAATCACATTTGTTTATGTGTCATTAACCAGCTATTTGTCTGAATCAGTGAGGGGGGAGATACGTTTTTTTATTTAGATATTTCCCTAAGTGATTAGGGATTTTTTTTTCTATGTAACGGATGCTGAATGTGATATTACTTGTTTGTTTCTAATCATTCTGATGAAGACATTAGAAATATCCCGAATTACTTGTAATGGTAAACATGAATATTGGTTTCACGCACATTGGTTTTTTTATCTGTTTTATGTAAGATATCTTAAATCAGCCCTGAACAACCTATGGCGCTTCAGGAGTTTTGGACTTCTGCTGTCAGAATTCCTGACCATTGGGCAAATTGATTAGGGCTTCTGGGAGCCTGTCTTAAATATATAATTGCTTGTTGCGCTGGATGTTTGTGCTAATATCTGCTGGATCTGTGTAGGAGTGTTTCTCAGTGGCTTTGATATGCACAAGTAATTGTGTACTTGTGTGCTTGAAGGTTTGAGCATGGTACTTTTCAGCTGTCTTTCAAAACCTTCCATGAAATTAAGAAGGACTGAATCTAGAAACTATATTATTTTTTCCCTACAGCTCAGATGATCTACACTGTGGAGGACAGATATTGTTCTATGCCTTCTAAGAAAACTTAGAGCTGGGAGAGATTTTCATTTCCCTTCAGTTGAGGAAAATTTAAACTTTCCATCCCTTTCCATGCTGAGAGGTTTGTGTGTGTGTGTGAGAGAGAGTCAGTGAGAGAAAAATAGAAATACAGAGAGCGCCTCTCTCCCAGCCAGTATTGGATGCATCTAATTATGATTATAAAGTTTTGTATTCTAGCAGTAAATGTGTTTTTAGAAAAAACATTTCCTAATTTTGACCATACTGCCCAGAGTCATTGTTTCTCCCTTTAGTGAATATTTCATACAGAAATTGTTTCTGTCTAAGGCAGGCAATGTGTTCTTCACGATGTTGTTAGGCAGTGACTTCCAGCATCCCTTAATATTGATCTTGTTAGGTTCTTGTGGGTTTTTTCGGGCTATAGGGCCATGTTCTAGAGGCATTTCTCCTGACGTTTCGCCTGCATCTATGGCAAGCATCCTCAGAGGTAGTGAGGTCTGTTGGAATTAGGACAATGGGTTTATATATCTGTGGAATGGCTGGGGTGGGGCAAGGAGCTCTTCCCCTACTGGAGCTAGGTGTGAATGTTTCAACTGACCACCTTCATTAGCATTTGAAGGCCTGGCTGAGCCTGGGAAAATCCCCTGTTGAGAGGTGTTAAGATGTGCCTGGTTGTTTCCTCTCTGCTGTTTTGCTGTTGTAATTTTTGAGTTTTTTAATACTGGTAGCCAGATTTTGTTCATTTTCATGGTTTCTTCCTTTCTGTTGAAATTGTCCACATGCTTGTGGATTTCAATGGCTTCTCTGTGTAGTCTGACATGGTGGTTGTGAGAGTGGTCCAGCATTTCTGTGTTCTCAAATAATATGCTGTGTCCAGGCTGGTTCATCAGGTGCTCTGCTATGGCTGACTTCTCTGGTTGAAGTAGTCTGCAGTGCCTTTCATTTCCTTTCGTGTTTATAAACCCATTGTCCTAATTCCAACAGACCTCACTACCTCTGAGGATGCTTGCCATAGATGCAGGCGAAACGTCAGGAGAAATGCCTCTAGAACATGGCCCTATAGCCCGAAAAAACCCACAAGAACCTGAAAGCCTTCAACAATACATTGATCTTGTTGTTTGGAGTTGGTGGGAATTGTGGTTCAGTATTTGGAGAACCACACATTACCTGTCTTTGGTCAAAAGCAGTTGCTAGTTTCTGAAGTTCTATCAAATGTCATCACTCTCTTTGATGTGTTTGTTGGAGCTGATTGCAAAGGTTTTAGGCTGAACTGAACTTTTGCCAGTCTGTGAAAATAGAAGTGGAATGAACCTAATACCATAATTTTTGTGTAACAGTGTTTTGTGAATCATTTATTCTATCCATGTGGACCTTCTGTCTAATGTTTGAGTCTATAGCTCTTCTCTGGGCCTCCATATCACTTGTTTGGCTGTTCTTTCCATAATAAAAGAAAACAATGAAATTTGACGATCTGGGCTATGCAAAAGACATTATTTTATTTAATGTGTGTATTTCTTAGTCTGTCTTTAAATTAGCATTTAGTTATGTGGTTAGACACCCTGAGCATACTAGAAAAGGGAGTGGAAAGGCAAGATGGAAAATACAATTCAAAATAAATAAGAAGCCCTGAATGTAGAATTTGTTGAATTGTTTTGATCTCGAATCAGGATTTGTTAGCACAGTATTTTTTTGCTGCAAAGTGAACTACTGTGTCTGTGCCATGTTGCATTATGCATTGTAACAAAGTCTTCATTGTAGAGGACTGCATTCACTTGAATATTCCATTCAATAACACTGGGAATGTTTTCAACCTTTTTCTAAAACAGTGAGGAAATGGGAAATCTTCCCAGGCTTGGTTGCTTTACTTGATGCCTTCTAGGACATGCATGAAATTGCAAGGGGTGGGTGGGACCACTGAAGCCTTACTGTCAAAGTCTTCCCTATTTTGTTAAAATGCTTCTCTTGTCAGTGCCTCAAGTCACAGATATGGCTTTGTTTCTCAGCTTCTCTGACCAACCTCAGAATTAGTGAAGGGGATTGAGATGCTGATTGAAGAACTGCACTTCTTGCTGACCCTTCAGTTATAAAATCAAATCAAATATTTATTTATTACTGTCATAGATCAGCATAATTAGGGAGCCAACTCTGCTCCACTCTTGCCTTTCCTAACTGTAAAAAGCAATAGTGGAGCTACTGCTCTGATCCCTGTAACTGTGGAACCCATAACCTTAGTTTCACTTACCCATACTGGATGAAAATGGTCTCTTGGTAGGTCTTCTAGATGATTTGGTGGTATGCTTTCCCTGGAATATATCATAGAGTCAGCCTGGGGAACCTAGCAAATCTCTAAAAAGTCTGAATCTATAGTATATCTGAATCTATAGAAATATATGTATAAGTGAGATAATTTAATGGCATTCAGTCATATCTATGGTTTCAGGTAACTACAGTCTGCTCAGATATGGATATGGAGGTATGATTATATGATGGGCAGTTTACACAAAGGCCCCTTGTGCCACTGCTTGCTCACCAGGCCAGACAGAATGTATGCATTTTTGGCTTTATGTTCTCTTCCTTTGCAAACTGAACAGTGAACTTTTTCTTTTATATCATTTCACATTCTTGGAAGACTTTTCTTCTTATGCCTCAAAAAGAAGAAACTTGGAAGTGTTGTATGCATTTTATGTGTTGCTGAAGGTTAGGTTGTAGTCCTAAAACTGTTCAATTCATGTTTTGTTTTTCCTGCAGGTAAAGATTTGGGAATGCTGACAGAATGCCACTGTGTCATTGTGCAGTGCAACATAGTGAATCAGACATGGAGGGATGCCGTTTTTCACTTGCTGGAGGGCTGAGGGTGTATCTCCACTGGAAGGGTGAGGAGGAGGAACCCTATCAGACCTATATGCAAGGGTCTCTTTGTGCTGAAGACATCTGCATTGATATTGCACAGAAGATTGGTAAGCAGTTTTCAGATCCTAGCTTATCTAAATATTCAGTTGTGGCAAATACAGTATGACTCCCCTTTTCCACGGATTTAATATCCACAGATTCACTTACACTTAAAAACAATTCCCATTGGAAGTGTTTGTGAGCCTCTCTAAGTCTTTTAATGCGATTCTATGGTATGCTTCCAGTTGAAGTATAGTTAAAATATAAGGTTTGTTATTATCCACCATTTTAACTATCCACTGGGAGTGGGGTTAGGCCATTGGAATGTAACCACTGCGGATACGGGTGCTGTACTGTAAGTAACCCATGCATCAAAACATAGGAAACATAAGAGAGTATTTGGATCTTTCAGAGAAGTTGAATAAATTATCTTTATCTGTCTTTGTGGGATAAGATATTGAGGCAAAAAACTATACCTAGATTGACATTGCAGACAAAGAGTTAAACTAAAAATGTTAAGTTTAGTATCTACACTTAAGAACAGGGAACTAGTTAATAAAGAGATGTAAGACATGATGGAGAGAATTACGGGTTTTTTATCTTCATAACTGGCCTGTGTATGTTGATAAAAATATAAAAGTACAAAAGAAATTCTGTAGAACGACAAGGCTTGCTAGTGTTCATCATAACATCTGCAAAATGTTATTGTTATATTCCATTTTATCTCTGTAATTGAGAAACAAAATGGTTCACAACAGTGAAAAAACTATATTAATTTAAAATCTTCAGCATATAAATATTAAAATAAGATTAAATATACAAATTGGTTAAAATCACTTAAAATATTAAAAACAGTTAAAATACTACATTGGTCATTCACTGAAACTGAACGACGGGAGATTCCGGCAAACAAAAAGGAAATACTTCACAGAGTTCATAGTTAAATTGTGGTATTCACTTAGATGGCCTTTAGAAATATATGTGTGAGAGAAATGCTTGAATTGGTAAAATTGACTATATCATCATGGTGGGTTTTTAATCCTCTCATTAGCTAATGCGGGAAACAAGATGTTTTCCTGGATGGGCCATTTCTACAATCCAAAGGCCTGGGGCGAGGGAGGGGAGACAGGGGAAATGTTGTCCTACTTTTCTCAGTAACCACCTTGCTTTCTCCAGGTATCACACCAATCTGCTACAGTTTATTTGCCCTCTGTGATCCCCAGGCCAAAATATGGTTTCCTCCCAATCATGTGTTTGAAGTTGACAGTGGCATCAAGTTGCTCCTGCATTTTCGAATGAGGTAGGAATGTCCTCTAGTTCTTCAAATATTGTGCCTGTATCTGTGTAGAGAATGTTGGAGAACCTGTGTGACTGAAATCTCTTTGCTCCTGGACTGTTTTTATGTCGACTACAAAGCAGAATGATTAAATCAGCTAATATTAATTGGATGAAACTTAATAACCACTACAGAGTAAAAGAAGGCTAACTTTCTCCACTGTGGTTTGATTCTGTTCTATGTTCAGACAGCATTATATCAGAATACAAACTACAGCTCTCACTGAGCCATGGCAGTTAAATTGGTATTAAATTGCATTAATTCTACAGTGTACATACACCTATGAACAAATCCCTTCTAGAGGAGGTATGTTTATTTTGAGAGTAAATGGCATGAGAAGATTGCAGATTCTGTGAGGGCATATTTCTGTTTTCTTTTACAATGTTTTTCAAGCCTTGAACCCCTTCTTTCAGTTGTGCATCTGTGTAGAAAGTGAAGTTTCATGCTAGATGGAGTTTTCAGGCTTGATTTGTTTCTAAACAACATTATCTGATAAACAAATAATTTTAATTCTCGAAGCTGGCCCTGATTGTTTCTTGTCTGAAAGAAACAATCAGGGCCAGCTGATCACCTCCCAACAAAAATTTCCTCCAGGCATTAAGAAGCCAGACCTTGAAACTGCTAGGCCATTACATGCTAATCAAGGGGGCCAGTGGAAACATTCACACCTACCTCAAACAGACATGATTTTTTTTCTCCCATCCTAAACATTCCACAGGTATATAAACCCCATTTTCCTAGTTTCCAGCAGATCTCACAACCTCTGAGGATGCCTGCAGGCCTGTAGCGGGGGGGGGGGGGGTTGGTTCAACCCCCCCCCCCCGAAATTTTTCAGGTTAAAAAAAATAAACCTGGTTTACTCATGAATTTTAACTGGTTAACCAAATCCCTATGCTAAGTCTATGAGACGCAAAAAATTAAGAGTCCCTCCAGAACTGCAAGCACTATCTCAAGCAAATATTGACAATTTATTCACACTGTCATTACTTGCAGCAATAGCCGATGTAGTGAAGCAACCAAGGAGGCCAGACTTGGTGGAGGTGGTTGACAGGGACGGAGCTGCAGGCTATTGAAGGCTGCTCTGCCCCCTGCTGTGCTCTTTGCTTCAGCATGAGCTAAGAGGCAGGTTTCAACCCCCCCCCCCCAATTTTCAACCCCCCCCCAAATTTTCAACCCTCCCTGGATTTTTTTTCTGGCTACGGCCCTGGATGCAGGCGAAACTTCTGGAACATGACCATATAGCCTGGAAAACTCACAACAACCCACTTGAAACTATATTTTCTTTATTCCATCTTCTCTAATACAATTTAGGTTTAAACATTTGATTGAATATAACTGTCAATTAGATTATTATCCAGTCATGATAATCTGGAGTCCAAACAAACTTGAAGGTTTAAAATAACGTAGGTTGCATCTACATTATAGAAATGAAGCAGTTTGACACCAGTTTCCCTGCTATGCTTCAATGTTGTGTGATTATGGAATTTGTAGTTTAGTGAGGCATCAGTATTACTTGACAGAAAAAGCTAAATATCTTGTCAAACAACAAATCCCATCATTATATAGCATTGAGTCTTTGCAGTTAAACTGGGGTCAGTCTGCATTATGTCTGCAGTGCAGTATATACACGCTCTTGATTTGACAATGGGTTTCGCATGGCATTATATAGCCAAGTGGGTGATATTATGTAAAGTGGCTCATCCACAAAAAAGATAAAGGTGGTGTTGTTGTGTTCCTTCAAGTAATTTTTGGGTTATGGCAACCCTAAGTTAACCTATCACGGGATTTCTTGGCAGAATTTGGTCAGAGGGATTTGTCCTTGCCTTCCTCTGGTTTTGAGTGTGTGACTTGCACAAGGTTAAACTATGGTTTTCTGTGGCGGAGCAGGAATTGGGACCCTGTTCTCCCAGTGTCCTAGTCCAACACTTTAACCATTGTACAATGCTGTATCTCATAAAGATTTATATCGGGGAAGCCATCGTTCTGGTGATCTGGAGGAATCTGAAGTCAAGAGTTTTGTCATGGAAAGATAATGATCTAATTACCTGTGATGAGTCATTGTTGATGCTTTGCCCTTGGAGGATAAGGGATTCTATTATATTGTGAGGGATGCTGCAAGATATGTCGATAGTCCTGCCTTCTATGGTTAATGACAGCATTTAACAATTTGCTCATACTCCTGGATTTGGAACTGTGAGACAGAAAGCACATAGAGGAAAGTATGAACACCAGTGACAGAAAATGTTCACCCAATGTTCACAGAGAACTTCATAGAACCCATTTCTGGGCTTAGAATTATTTTATCATTTCAGCCATTGCACAACTGAAATTATGTGGAGAGAAACATACCTGCAAATGTTATGCTGTTTAAAATAACCTATGATTGACCTTTCTACAGGAACACTTTCCCCCTTAAGTGTCTGTTCCACCCTTTCCTTTACCAATCAAGATCTTCTTACAAAGATTACGGGTGCATCTACAGCATTAATGCAGTTTGCAACCACTTTAACTGTCATGGCTCAGTGTTACGATATCATGGGAGTTATAGCTGTACGGGGCCTTTCCAAAAGGAATTTGTCTCAAAAAACTACAATTCTCTTGATTCCATAGCATTGAGCCATGGCAGTTAAAGTAGTGTCAAATAGCATTGATTCCACATATTCAAAGCAATCTTGGCAAGTAGATAACCTTTTTAACAGAGAAATAGGGTTGAACTCTGTGAAAGCCAACCACTGTATGTCTATCAGCCTCCTCCCAGTAGACTTAAATCAAGGAAAAGTTTCTCGAGAACCACCATTCCTCTTAATGTTCCTTCAGCAATAGCAAGGATATCCCTGTGGGCAGAAAAATCAGGCAGTTCCAACTGAATGCCCTCCTACAAGGGGGCAAACCAAGAATGGGCAACTTGGAAGTCCCTGATCAGGACCTGTATGCTTGCTCACAATGCCCTGCCTCATGAACAGAGGAAGAACTGTTTAAAGCTGCAGACAATGTGGTCATTGTTGCCCATTTTTGGTCTATAATATCAGTTTTATACTTATTTATGCAATGCGTTGATACTAAATAAATAAACAAGCAAACAAACATGGTGGTGCCGATTTGTGGAATGCTCTTCCTGGAAAAAGTTCAGGAAATCATGGTGGCATGCAGAAAGGATTCAAGTCCTGCTCTTTCAGGAAGAAGCTTGGCTGTTTAAATAGAAGCTTAGTACATTAGTTATGGGAGTAATTATCTAGGTGGCGAGTTGATTCATTTAGTGACTGTGTTTGAATTCTGTATTGTATATATGAAATAAAATAATTAATTCAAGAAAACTTGCCTGAATCTGGTTCTGAAAGTTCTTCAGATGCAGTGTTAGATAATTTTTATTCAATATTTTAAAAGTCTTTTGTATAAGTACCAGTATCCTGCTTTACTGTCTATTTTATAGTCAGATGATTGCAATACTATATGTATTAAATGTGTAATACATTTGATTTCATAATACATAGATGTCCGTTGTCTCCAGTCATGTTACTTAGTTTGCCTGTAGTATTACATTTTATTGATTAGTCCATTGGCCATATCAAAACGTTTAACAAACACATTTAACACATACAGCATACAACCCACATTACAATCAAAGTTAAAATGCTTACTTACTTACTTTACTTAGGCGATCCCTCGTAGTCCGAGGATGATGGTCCTCCAAGTTCGGTGTCCTGGGGGTGGGTTCGTAGGTGGCTGTGGAGCCCTATTCTTGACCTGCATCTTCTCCCACAGTGAGGGCATTGGTTTCCAGGTGGGAGGCGGTCTCGGTCGGGGTTGGCTTGACACGCCTTCCTCTTGGCACGTTTCTCTCTTTCACCCTCCATTTGTGCCTCTTCAAATTCTGCAGCACTGCTGGTCACAGCTGACCTCCAGCTGGAGCGCTCAAGGGCCAGGCTTCCCAGTTCTCAGTGTCTATGCCAGAGTTTTTAAGGTTGGCTTTGAGCCCATCTTTAAATCTCTTTTCCTGCCCACCTACATTCTGTTTTCCGTTCTTGAGTTCGGAGTAGAGCAACTGCTTTGGGAGACGGTGATCGGGCATCCGGACAACGTGGCCGGTCCAGCGGAGTTGATGGCGGAGGACCATCGCTTCAGTGCTGGTGGTCTTTGCTTCTTCCAGCACGCTGACGTTTGTCCACCTGTCTTCCCAAGAGATTTGCAGGATTTTCTGGAGGCAGCGCTGATGGAATCGTTCCAGGAGTTGCATGTGACGCCTGTAGACAGTCCATGTTTCGCAAGCATATAGCAGGGTTGGGAGGACAATAGCTTTATAGACAAGCACCTTGGTATCCCTACGGATGTCCCGGTCCTCAAACACTCTCTGCTTCATTCGAAAAAGCTGCACTCGCAGAGCTCAGACGGTGTTGTATTTCGGTGTTGATGTTGACTTTGGTGGAGAGGTGGCTGCCAAGGTAGTGGAAATGATCAACATTTTCTAATGTTACACCATTAAGCTGTATCGCTGGCATTGGAGAGGGGTTGGCTGGTGTCTCCTGGAACAGCACTTTGGTTTTCTCGATGTTCAATGACAGGCCGAGCTTCTCTTATGCTTCTGCGAAGGTGTTTAGAGTGCCTTGTAGATCTTCTTCTGAACGCGCACAGACGCACAGTTAAAATAAGCAAGGTGTGAACAAGGGGTCAAGATCCTGATCCAGATCCAATATCTACACCACCGCTACAATTTCCACCAATCGACTCCAGATATGCAGTTCTCAACTGAGTTGCTTTAAATAGAAAAGGGGCCATTTTGTATGTTATTTTAGCATTCTGGCTAGCCAATAAAAATGTAGCTTTAATATAAGGACCCCAGTGTGTCTTTTGTATAATGTATGGTCCAAATACTGGATTCTCTCGTTCTCATACAAGTTACAACTAAACAGTACATGTGTGATGTCTTCAACCTCTACCACTCCACAGATACAAACTTGTTCATTATA